TGGATTAAGTGGAAGGAACTTTAGCGGCCCAAAATTTATTTGCCTGGGGATTGGGTTGGAATTTGGAACGAAATTTGGTTTCCGGGCCGTTATGATCCGGAATTTTTCCGATTTCAATCCGAATCCCGAACCTCGAAATTCTGACTTCCATTTTCTGATATATTTGGATCGAAATTGAAATATATACGAGATTCCAATTTCCGATCCGATTAAGGTTCTGAAAATTATTCCAAAAATTTTGATTTTTTTTCCTTCGGATATTACAATTAAATTACCAATAATTATATATTTTATATTTAAGGTGATCAAAAATTGAAAATTCTGAATTCCGCCGATTCCTATCCGAAAAGTTCCAATTTTGGAACAAGTTTTTTCGTTCCAACTTCTGAAATTCCAATTTTCGAATTTTTTAGAACTAGTTTTTCACTTCAAAAAAAGATCAATTTTTTTTAGAAAGGGCTAATTCGGATCCGATCCATTCGATTTACACCCATACCATTGATCCAAAAAAAATTATTTTCATTTAACCGGTCAATGTCATGAAATAATGAAATATTTAAGATCATTTTTAATTCCACAATACTAATTTAATCTTCATGTTAAATAATATCACATCTACTAACAGTTATGAGGTGACGCGCCACACTACCGATGCCAACCAGAATGCCCCGAATATGCTGTTATAGATGCTAGTCAATAATTATTAAGTAACAACATTTCAATTTTTATTTTTTGAAATAGCTAAAATAATACATAAATGTTAAATATTTATTTATGTGGAAAATCTTAAATATGTCAAGAATCTTGGAGAAATTAATAAAACAAATTTCCTAGTATTTGCAAAAGAATTTTAATTAACTAAAAAGAATTGAGGATTTCTAACTGTTATTTGATGATTTAGGTGTCAGGGAATTTGTCGGTGGTGTTAGATAAAAGATGAGATCAACTTCGATTTCAACAAATTATGGGTCCCAATTTTCTGAAATAATAAACTGTCCATACCCTAAATACTAAAAAATGAAACCCTTTTCTTTTTAACTTTTTCCACTATCTTCTTATTTAACTTATTCAGGATAAGAAATATTAGGCTTTAGTTAGTACCTAGAATGAAGGTAATTAAAAAGGCGAAAGAATAGTTCGCTATGTGCTCACCGCGCAGCTGCAATATAATCAATTTCTATGTTAACACCCTTTAAAAGAGATGTATATAAAAATTTTACAAATCGAAGTGGGACTGGATGTAATTTTTAGAAAATGAGGAATTTTTTTTGAAGAAGGTGTAGTGCTGGAATCGGGCTATGTGAGCCGGGCTTGGGTCGGCTCAAACTCATATAACATCGGGCCTCGTTATTATATATAGGCTCAAGCTCAAATATCATAGGATCTCATGCCTATAAGCTCAAACTCGGCTCACATATTTTTTCAGGTTTCAGGTTTATATCGGACTTATATCGGGCAATATATAAATTATATATTTTACAACGTAGCCGAACATATTAAAAAAAAAAGAAAAACTTATACTATGAGAAATTAAGAATACTCATTACATGTAAAAACACAATGATAAATTAAGTTAAAAGTTGTATCTAGAATAGTCATTGAAAGTCATAAACAATGAAAAATTAAGATTACCTCCATCGGTGACATATTTAGAGAAACCCTCAGGTAGGTTTTATATTTTTTATATGAATGAAGAAAATGTTAGTATCTTTTACCTTAAGAAACTTCTCATATTCTCAAGATTGATTAATTAAATTTATGAATTAATTAACTAATAGTGTG